AAAAAAAAAAAACCCAACAAGATATGCATATTTAATCCCCCGGCACTAACGCCAACCTCTGATCTTTTCCACAGTCATCAGGTACTGCTGCTTCATCTCCTCCAGGCCTTGCTGAAGCTTTTGCTGCTGACCAGAACTTCTGCAAGCAAAACAGTCAACGATCCTGGTTAAATACATATTTTGTCTTTAATCTCTGTGTATTTTACTGTATACAGTAAACATTTTGACACAGTATATCATTTTGTATAGTATTTTAGCTTTTTAGTACAGTATTTTTCTTTTCAAAATATCTATCTAATTCACCTTTTCATCCTGTCCCCTGTGCTGCTGTAACAAGTGAATTTCCCCAGTGGGGGATTAATGAAGCCATGTCTAATTATGCAGTTCAGAAATTATCAGAGTGTTAACATACAGAAGAGTCCTTGTTTCTTTTGTTTTTTTAGTTTTCTTAATATAAATCAGGTAAAGCAGTCCCACAGTAAGAAGCCTTTAACAGTCCCATGAAGTAGCTTTGAAATCTCTTATTTTCTTTGTTTTTTTAAAATCTGAATTGTCTTGACAGATTATGATGCCAAGATAATTTAGATGCTCCAAGTTTAAAATAAATGTCCTGCTCAAGCGACTTGTCTCAAGATATTAAACTTGTAAATTAAAAGATCAAACTGAAGAAACTTGTTGAGAGGTCTAATTGAATACGTAGCTCTGAAATGCATTAGATTTATGAAACAACTTGTTTTTGACAAAACTGAAGTGCAGCAAGGCAATAGCAATTTGCACTGTACCATTAAATTAAAGGCAAAAATAAAAAACACAAACCCTGATGATTCTGTTGCTCTCTTCACTTCCTCTAACTGTTGCAGATGTTCCTCCTTTGCCCTCTGTAAGACGCTTTCATGCTCATCTACAACAGATAGCACTTAACCCGTCAGCACACATGCAGTTCCAGCTCATAAAAAAAAATCTTATAAAAGAATCTTAATAAGGTCTTTTAAATGCACTACCTTTGAGATGCTGTATGGCAGTTTTGTGCTCTCTAACGCTGTGCTGGAGTTGCCGACAGGTTTTCTCTAAATGTCTCTGGAGCTCCTGATTCTTCTTCTGCAGCTTACTTACACTTTCACTGCACTCCTTCCTGCAATGACACTGCTCCCTCTGCTGGGATAAGACTGCTAAAAAAAACAGAAAAAAAACTAACCTTGCCATATAATATTGATAACAACCATTTCATGAAATGAACAGAGTATGTCATGTTGATATACAAGCAGAACATTTTCATGTCCTGCTAGAGAGGAGCTCATTACGTACTTTGCATTTTCTTTATTTCTCCTTCGTGCTGTTTTTGCGTTTCTTTCAAAGCACGGCTCAAATTCTCTTCACTCATCTGTGGGATCAAAAATGAAAGCTTCAGATGAAAAACTTTCTAAATAAAAGACAAATCTGTAAAAAAATAAACATAAAAAATATTACGTGCTGTACAAATCATTCATTGCCGTACTTGTAATAAAAATGATGACATTTCTTACTCATCTCTCTGGCTACTCTAATCTTTTCCTTTTGCACACCAGCTAAATTTATACATTTATCATTTATATATTCTTTAGAAATATAACAACTCACTGTTTTCCATTCCTTCTTAGCCTGGGCTACTGCTCTTTGGACTATGTCTCTGCATGAAGTTTGGATGATGTGTGTTATTGTAGCCTCTGATGTAGCCCTGCTGGTCCTTTGAGTGTCTTCAGTACCCTGATGATCCGTTTTGGTATTCCTGAGAAGTTGTGCCTGGACCTCTGCGAGTGCAGTCTGAAGCTCTGCTTGTAGTTCATCTCTTATCTGCTTTCCTTGGATCATTTCCTTTTCTGCATGCTGGCATCGCCACTCCTCCTCACGAGCACTCACAGTTTGCTGAAGCTTGGCCTCCATCTGTAGGAGCAGCTCATTCTTTTGGAGATCAGCATCTTCTCTGGCTTGGAGTACAGCCTGCTCCAGCTTTTTGTACTGCTCTTGCAGCTTGGCTTGATATACCTGCTCGCTGCGGGCCTGGATGATGGCGATCTCCTGCTGTTTGTCTCTGTTCCAGGCTGCTCTCGCTCCAGCCAGCTCAGCTTTCAATAAGGCAGCTTGCTCTCTGGTCACTTGCTCCAGCTGGCTCTGGAGGGCTGCCAGTTCCTCTTGCTGCTCTTCCATCCTTTGTGGCCCAGAGCCGTTCTCCTCCTGCTGGTTCTTGTGCTTCCTGCGCCACTGCTCTTCCGCCTCCTTCAGGGCTTGGGACACCTAAAACATTTAAATAAATATATAAACCCAGACAACAGCAGTGACACTTTCAAATAAAAGACAAAAACTCTCTCTTACCTTCTGTTGGGTGTGTTTTTCTTGCAGTTGTTCCCATTTCTCCTTCTCAGTTTGTAGAGCAGCTTGATATTCTGGCAGTGAAGTGAGATCCTCAATCCAGCGATTATAGGCTCTGGTTACTGCCCCTTCAACCTGAAACAAACACAAACGCATTTTTATGTCCATTAACTGAACCAAATAATCATGTCAAAGAGGAAAAGAAATATAATTATGATATAAACATTTTTACATAATGGTGGAAAATAACTTAACCAAGTCTTGTGAGTAATATACACTAAAATTGATGGTTTAAATCTCTGTACCTAAAATGGATGAAGGTGACTTTAAGGGTCTGAAATGTCATATTCCGCACTCTGGTGATTTTTTTTATGCGTCGATATCTGGTGAAATGTTTAACTATTTACCAAAGTCTTGGTCTGTACGGGATGCTAGTCCAAATCAGTCTATCAGACTGTGATCATAGCACAAAAACAAAGCCAAAGACCTCAAACTGCGTTGCCGGTGGGTTTTTTTGTTTGTTTGTTTGGTTACAGCCCAATCACTTGACAGTCATCGAGCCTTTTCAAATTAAAGTAGGTCTACTTTAATAATTCAAAACACATGCACATGTATTTTGATGACCATTAAAATATGTTTAATATTTCTCTTGAAATACAATCATACAACAAAAATGCACTGACTTGTTTAGCCATGTCGTCCAGGTGTTTCTCCTGCAACTCTCTCTGGACTTGTTTCCTGGCTTCCTCCACAGCTTTCCTTCTGACATTTTCAGATTCCAGTTGCAGCTGCTGTCTCTGGGCACTGAGCCTGGAGTCCAACTCCTCAGCAGAAATTGTCCAACTGACCTCATTCTCATCCGTCTGACAGCTCGTCTCAGCAACCTCTTGATGTTCCTCTCTTGTAGCCTCCTCCAACCTCTGGGCCCAGGTCTTCTCCATCTGTATAAAAAGTAGAACAGAAGAAAATAAGTCTTGTATGAAACCAATATTAGTCAAATGAGGGAGATAGGAATACATTTTAATAGTCATACCTTTTGCAACTCATCCTTCCATGCAGCCTCAGTGGAAGCTAAATGAGAAGTCAGTGTTTGCTGGAACTCAGCCTCTTTCTCTTTGGACCAGACAGCTTTGAGCTCCATAACTGAGGCCTGATGCTGAGCCTCAAGCTCACTTCTCAGCTTCTGCATAGCTGTGCCACTCTCCTCTCTGATCAACTTCTCCTCCTTCTCTCTGCTGCGGATGCTTTCTTCAAGCAAGTCCTTCTCCTTGCAGACAGATATGTAACATTCTTGTACCGCCAGCATCTTATCATTAGCTTCAGAGAGCTGGCTTCTGTGGAAAAAATAAAAAAAATACCCACAAAAGTCTGAAAACAACTATATTTTTAGATATTTATATATATATTTATATTTTTAGAGGTGCAGGAGACTTACTGTAACTGCTGAAGCTGCTGCTGGTGCTGTGTCGTCAGCCGCTCTACCTGAGCATCGTGTTCCAGCATGAGTTCTGTTTTGATCCTGTTAACCACATCATTCCTGTACTGCTGATGAATCCGCTCAGATCTAAGCAAAAGAAGCACATATACTTATAAATACACATAACAGGAAAATACACGTGCCCCAAGAAAGAGGAGGAAGAGAAAGAGTCAATTTTACCTCTCAGCAGCTTCTTGCTTTTCTTGGTCGAGCTCCTGGATCATCTCCCTCATTTTGGTGCACAACTCAGAATTGGCAGACTTCAGTTTTTCCTTGTTTTCTTTCAGCTCCTGATTCTTCTTTTCTAGCAGCTGCAGTTTGGAGAAGACAACAGTCTTTTGTGACTTAGCCAAAAAACTAAGAACATGATTAGTCTGGCAACAAACATCAACCCACCTCCACTTGTTCCTGCAAGTGTGCTTTGTCCTCCTGTAACCTCATCAACTCTTTTTGAGAGTCTCCAGTCATGTCTTGATGTTTCTTCTGGCTGGTTTCTTTCATCTGGGTAAATCAAAAATGTCTGCATCAGTCACCTAATCCCACCAACTTTTAGTCCTTTTATAAAATTAACCAAAGCTTAGAAAAGTAACAATTTTCAAGAGTCAGCGCTCACCTCAGAGTTAAGTTTTGTTTCATCTAATTCAATCTGCATTTCATTCACTCGACGCTGACACTGCTGGAGCTCCTCCTGCAGCTGGTTGATCTTCTGCCGCTTCCCCTTTAAACTACCCAGGCAGCGCTGCATCTCTACTCGTAGCAACCTTAAAGCCTCATCCTTGGGCAGCTTGGAGTCTGACAGGTGAGCCAAAGCAGTACTGACAAAAGAACAGAAAATGTGTTTCCAAAGGTTACTCTGGAGAGTTCAGCCCAAGAGGAGAAGAGATACAGATCACAATGACTGGTCTGTGTTCACACTGTTACCTATTAAGTGTGCCATTTTTCCTGTTTGTTTTCTTCAACCCCAAATCCACACAGGATTCAGACAGCTGGTTCTCCCAGTTGCTGCTTAGGTCTATCGCAATGACACCGTGCTTCACTGCAGATTCATACAGAGTGATCTGCTCCTTCAGATCAGCCATATCCTCCTTTAGGGTGAAAATGGAAAAACACAAAACATTTGTGCAGCTTGTTCATCAGAAGTCACAGAAGTAGTTGTGCTTTAGAAAAATCTGAGGACAAACCTGTAAAACTTTGTTCATGTTCTCACTCAAGGCCTTGGCTGAGAGTGCCTGCTGTAGTTTGATTTGCATTTGACTCATCTCTTGCACTGAATCTGAAAATAAAAAACAGATAATTAGATCAATTAAATGTGAGCAAGAATAAGGTAATGTGGGTGTCAGCTGCTCAGTAATGTTCATGTGGAGTTCACACACTTGTCTGCAGCAGCTTGGCACATTGTTGTTGACTCTCTTCCAGACGCTGAGTGAGTGCATTCACCACTCTGGCTCTCTCCAGCTGCTCTTCTTCTCTCTGGCGCTCCAACAGCTTCACATGCTCCCGTAACTTCTGACCAATATCAAGCTGGAAGCCACAAAACAAAAAACACTCTCTGACTTAACAATAATAATAATATAATCAAAATTTGTCTGATGACAAACAATGGACTTATGGTTAACTTGTTCCATTTTCTAATACTATGTCAATAAAACTCCAGACCTGTTCATTCAAAGCCTGAGAGGTAGAGTCCAGCTTCTGTTGCAGGGCTAACAGAGCAGCTTCATGCTGCTCCTTTATGACGGCAAGGTCTCTGTCATGCTGTTCCCGCGCTCTGGACAGCGTGTCAGAACGGCGAAGCTCCAACATCTGTTGCTTCATGCTGTCTACCGCAGCATCTGCCACCCTCTGTTTCTTCATGTTCTGCAAACAAAAGAAAACCTTTGCTGTATACACTAAAAAGAAGCATTCTCATACAAAGGTTTCAGTCATGCATCATGTTTCAGTAAGCAGAGCTGGTTTAGACACATTTGTATGCAAAATTTCATATTAAATTCTTAAATCTGTAAAGCTGACAAAGCTTTTGAATTTCCTAAGTGCATGTTTCTTTAATAGTTATACTTAAATATTATTACTGTCTTAAATTTAGCATTAAATAACAAAGAAAACAGAATGAAAACAGTGTTTGTCAGCACAGAACACACCTCGTGGTCTCTCTCAGTGAGGATCTGTACTTGCTGCTCCATTGCCTTCAGCTTGTTTTGCATTTGGACCTCTCTTTCCTTGGCTTCTTCAATCAATCGACTCGCTTCCTTTAAACTTACTGCTAGGCCGTCCTTTTCATCTATGGACAATATTTTTTAAACGGACCATCAGTACATCTAGCAAGAAGTGCTACATCACTAACAGCCACAAGGGGGCAGACGTTTTAACCAACTAAAGACAAACTTACATTTCCTTCTACTAATCTCAGTTATATAAACTGACAATCCCTCTCAAGTCCCAAGTGCCCAAGGTTTTGAGTGTATTATTATTATTATTATTATTATTATTATTATTATTATTATGCTTGTAAAAAAATAAAGTACCAACATTAAATGTTCTTCCTGAAAGTATTAAAGAAATCTCCAAAATCACATCACTGTTCAAGTACTGCAACAAAGTGAGATGTCTCTCATTTAAAGTTGAACATGCCTTTGACGATTACAAACTGATGCTCGAGGTATCTCATGTTACGCCGTGAATCCTCAAGTTTTCGCTCCAAGTCTTCAATTTGCCTCTGTTGAGCTTTGTTCAAAATCTGCACCTGGGCAAGCTGCTCCCGGTCAGCATTTTCTGAAACAAAGATCATTTAGTGTTTAATTTTAGTCATTTTTAATTGTGAAGACATTTTTGATTTAAGCAATGTCAGTTTTTGTTTTTTTTTTTTAAACCACTGGCGATACAAATTACACCTTTCTGCAGTACAGCTAGACTATGCATACAACTAGAAGAAAAAAAAAGCCTTGTAACAGATTAAGCTACTTGACAATCTCCACCTGCAGTCCCGAAACAGGCACACATCTCATCAAATAGTTTATATTTACATGTCAGTGTACTCAGTTATATTATTTAGTCAATGAAAGTAAGACTTACGTTGTGTCGAGTCAAGGAAATCTCTCTGCAGATGGTCAAACTGACCTTGCGGAGCAGCCTGTGGCTTAAACATGTTTGGCTGATGGGCAGGATGATGAGGATTGTAGCTCACCTTGTACTGATTTGCACCTCTGTCACATACTTCAGACTTTAAACATAGAAACATAGTATGATAGTAGTGAAAATGTTGCTGTATTTAAAAAAAACACAAAATACACAAACAAACAAAACATACAAACATAAAAAAATTAAAATGCACAAACTACAAATTGCCAGATAACAAGATGTTAATTTAAAATGACATTTGAGGAAATTTCATACACACAAGTAATGTATGATTATTTTGGAATAAAATGCTGCTTTTTTAAATACAATAATAGAAACCCTTTCATGTTACTATTTATTCAAATGATTTGGAGGCATTAAGACCTAAAACCTTAAAGGAAAGAACAGCACAATAACAGCTACGACCTTCTGGATGCTTTTGAAATTAAATGGTCTACTCACTTGAAATTGGTGGTTTTGCTTGTCTATGTATCCTCTTTCTCCATTATATTCCACGTGATTACTGGCACCCTGAGGGTATGGTTTAGACTCAAACTCAGTGGAAAAATCACTGGTCTCTGTCATTTTGTCTGTGCCCATGCTTGTGCATGTATAATCTGCTTGTGTGAACTGATGATCCTGGTTCCAGGTGTGAGGCAGTGGTTGACTTTGAGGGGGACTCCGATGTCCATTAATACGAGCAGCTCCGTCCTTATATGCATACTCATTGTTCAACCCTTCATCATAGTGATCTTCATAGTTCTTTAGAGAGACAATAAACAGAGTGTGATTTTTTCCCTTTTGAACTTTTTTTGTATGCACCATTTATGAGTTGTATTTTTTTTTTAAATGGCAAAAATATTCTAGGCCCCTAAATCTACTACTGAACATAATCTAACACTCTACCTGTGTATGAGGGGCTGGCCTTGGATGATCAGACCATTGCCGAGTCCAGCTGGACTGTGGGCTAAGTAGAGAAAGCACAACAAATGATAACTAATGTTGCAGTGACAACAAATCTGCTTGTCTTGAACCACACCCAGAGTTCTCGAAATGTGACATTACCAATAGTGTCATCAGCAGCAACATGTGTTACCTGTTGCCAGAGTTTTTATTACTGCAGGCAGTGTAATCCAGCTCTGGGGAGGAAGAGTCAATGCTGTCCTCAAGCATGTCATCAGGCAAGTCTGTGAGCAGCTTGTGCAGCTGTGAGAAAGGAAAAAAAAAAGAAAGAGAGAAAATAGCACATGGAAATGAGTCACCATGGTTGCTTCGCAACTGAGTTATAAAGTAACAAAGATAGAGGAAAAAACACCAGAGCTAAGCAATCACTGACAGCTTAAAAGGCTGTAAAAGTCTTGTGCAGTGTGTTTTTATTATTTAGCTGCAGTTTTGAGAAATACTTGTTATATTAAATATCATTACATTATGCTGTGCAGATTTACTAAATCAAAATGACTCAGGCTATACCTTAAAACACTTTCAGAAGCTTTTTGTGTTTGCATGTGAGATTTAAGGATAAACTTTGATTAAATGATTAATCATGGAAGTATTTGCACTCTCTGATTGTATTTTGCACAGCACTGCACAGTGTAGCCCAATCTTTATATGGCAAAAAACCTTCTACTATTTAAATATTTGCACATTGTGCTCATATGGCAGTATTTGTATTTTGTGACCTAAATGGGTGAATTTACTCCTATGTTAATCACTGGTTTAGAATCCATGTGTAAATTTACTTTGAAATAAAACTGATTCTCATTAAGGCTTTTCAAATGTACCCTTGTTTAATATTTTGACACTTACAAATAAAATGACACAAAAAAACCCAAACTCTTCAGTAACAGACTAACCAAAGTTACATAACAAACAGCCATGTGTGTTGAAACAAGCAGAGCCAGCTGGACTTACTTCCCATAAGGACCGCTGAATACTCCTCAGATCCTCCACTGTGTCCACAACCGAAGGACCCATATTATCCAACTTACACAGTCAACAAAATTTGAAAAGGCATTTCTACTTTAGCTGTGAAACCACGAGATAACCCCCAGCCTAATCTGCCTGTAGAGAAGGCCTTCTGTGTAAAACATCCAAAATGTGCCTGGCATGTTGTCGGCTCCCTGTGGTATTGTCTTGTTTGCCTCCCAAAGACCTCCATTGTTTAGACAAAACATATAGCAAAGTTAACTGGAGCAGAAACATTCCAGTTACTGCTGGCAGACATTATCCATAACAAGCTAGTGTATTATAAGTAGGTTATAGCCTAAAAAAAGAAAAAAAGAATAAATAAAAATAAATGAAATGAAAATCTATTTAATTAATACTATTTAAAGCCCATTATGCTGAGCTCTATAAGATCAGCAAATGCTTCTTCACTCTCTCTCCTGAAGCCAAGTAACCCAAATAGAAAGTGGGGAAGCCAAAGGGCTGAGCTGGTTTCAGTGTGACACACCTGGAAGGAGGCCTTTTCCTTGAGCCAATAATAGCTCAAGCTCACAGCACAACAGATTGTAGTTGTGAGTAGTAACAGTGAGTAACTGAAGCAGGCAGTGCTTGTGAAATTCAAACAATGCACTTGTCAATGATTCCCCAGACAGCACTACAAACTCACAAAGAGAAATGTAAGATTAACAGTAGTCCAATTTGGTAAACATACAATCACTGTACACAGTGATAGTAAATGTAAGGTAAGCTGAGATAAATAATGGCTTCTTATCATTTTGTAATTTTAGCATTAGTTGGACACGTTGTTGTGTTCTTGCATGTTGAATAACATGCACAGGCTTTCTACTGTGTTGACTGATATCAGCAACTATAATGGCTGTAGCCAATGCGCGATGAAACAAGCTGAGTCAGCTGACTAAATATGTTTAAAGACAATTAGATGAAGAGCCGAAAGACAAATCGTGTTTTCACAATAGGCTTTCTCAGTTACCTAAGTGGGCACCAAATAACAAGGTAAATAAAAAATATCCATCAAATTGTTATTGTAAATATCCTAAGAAATTCAGGGTGCATGCCGAATGTGAACTCAGTCCAACAACTGGATGCACAACTATCAGACAGATGTTATCTGAATAATTCTGAAAAGCTGTAGATCTGAGTGTTGCACCTCTTGCTCTCTGGCGTAGTCCTCTTGGTCGTATTCCTCTTCATCGTGTTGGGTTTGAAGAGCAGCACTGTCAAAATCAATAGACATCATGCACACCCTCCTGGTCGTTTAGGGGATCCTAGGAAAATAGAAACAACAAAACTTAATTTATCTTTGGCAGCAGTTAAAAACTCAAGTTAACTCAAATTACGCATTGATATCAGCTAGAAATATATATCAAAGCTTACCCGTTAGTTAAAAGACGCCAGATGTCTCCTTTGCTGAACTGCGTATCCCTTTATTGAGTATTAGCTTTAACTGTTAACCATGCTGCACTGTTTATTACAAATCAGTGAGGCTTTTTAGCCAGCGGTAAACCCGGACATGCCAAACAAACGATCCAGTCGAGCTCTGGAAACATGTGCCCAACACTTTTAACAAGACACGCAGGTTTAATGCCAAATTATAGGCCAGTTTACGAGCATTTAAGATGGAAGCTAACTTTGTAGCGAACAAAGCTAACTCTTGCTAGCCGTACCTTGTTAGACTCGCCCACTTTGAAAACTCGCGCGCGTTAGCAGCGCCAAACCACTGAGGCTCTTTGAGACAGAGCAGATTTAAGAATCTGATTGCACATAGACTTCCTCATTATCACCACAACTGACGCTAATTCACCGACACAAAAATATTAATTTAAAAGCTTTTTGGCGTAACAAAACATACCAGGTGAAGCTATTTACAAGATTTATTTTCTTGCTGAGAACCCCGGAGCTAGTTAACCCTGTGTCCATGGTAACAAAGTCGTTAGAATTATGGGTAATGTAGTTATCGAGAATATTTGGAAATTATATATAAAATGTTATGTTTGCTGTTGCTCTTTCATGTTATTTTTTGTTTCTCTTTCCTCCTTTTTTATTCATGGTCAATTTTAAGCGCAAACAAAGCCACACGTTTATGAAAACTTTGTCGTCGCTGGCATTTTTAAAAAGCAATCTGATGTTCCCATCCTGTGGTTAAACAGTGACATAGCAGCTAATTTCAAGATAACCGTGAACAGGGTTACTAAATAGATATTATAATCAGGTTAGTCAAACCTGGGAATTTGATTACAAAAATATGGCATTACATTTCTGTTATTTCAATTACATTTTTTTGGTTTTTTGTTTATTTATTTATTTTTTTACTGAAGTTCATTGACGTTAACGTTAAAGCTAATTAATTTAAAGTAGGCTACTGTAAAAAAAAAAAATGAAATTTTGTGCATCAAGTTTATGAATGACCGTTCTCATCAGTATATGGAGTTACTCCGTTCAGATTTGTGGACGTCGACTCACGAGACCCGCCTCCTTTCCGTCTATTAACTTCCGCATTTTGCCTCTGCTGCCTCAGCTGCTTCAGAGTCAGCTTTTCCTTTGTAGACAGACGCTAAACCCAGCTGAGCTCCGACCAGAGTTCAGCATTTTGGTATCCGGGAGCCTCTTGTGACAGTCAGCTGATCTAAACCCGGATATGTGAAAGCTCTGAGCTCTCCTGTCTGACAACAAGTGGACTCACAATTACTTTAAAACGGGTAGAAATGGCCACAAACCCGCCCAAGTTAAAGACAAAGATAGCTGCTAACGAGAGGTGAGAAGCAACGAGGCTACGCAGTGATTCTCAGAGTATGATATTATGATACTTAATTGCTTTTCTTGTCATTTTGCAGGATGAAAAACTTAAAAGAAAACTTTGAGTCAAAGTATGGGGAATCTCCTCTCTTCTATGCATTTGCACCTGGAAGGGTAAACCTAATAGGTAATTTCATACTTTATGTGGCATTTGTATACTGATTGCATTATTGTATATGCTCCATCTATTTTGTATCTGTTGAATAAATACAGTGTATACCCATATAAATATCCTCTGGAGATAATAGTAGTGCTGCCAGTGGGTGTTCTTAATATTTTGACCTTGTTTCAAAGTAAAACATTTGTGGTTTACGATTTTGTTTGCAGCTTTTATCCAGGAATTTTTTAGTGGTACCAGTCAAACACGGTCTGTCACATACGTCTTTTCATATTTGTCACATTAACAGGTGAACATATTGATTACTGTGGCTATTCTGTGCTTCCAATGGCCATCGAGCAGAATATCCTCGCAGCTGTGTCAGTGAACAATTCAGGGAAGATCCAGCTGGCCAACGCAAATCCTAAATACAAGTGAGATGTGAACACTTATAGTAACGGCCCCAAATATATATTTTTTGTTTGTTTGTTTTTGGCCTGTGTAATTCATTCAATGGTAGCTGTACATTATGAGTGTGTGTTCTCAGAAAGCTTGTTGTTTGTCATTATACAGGGATTTCAGTGTGTCGTGTTCAGAGGAAATTGCCATAGATAGAGATGATCCACAGTGGTATTATTATTTTCTCTGTGGGGTTAAAGGTATTCAGGTAAGCTTTGTGATGAGTTCTATACTCTTAAATTATGGAATGGCAAAAAATGAATATTATAACATGTACTAAATGCGTCATAAGTCGTAACATGATACATTTAGATTTTTTTTTTCTTTCAGGAGAAGTTTGGGCTAAACCATTTAGCGGGGATGTCCTGTGTCATAGATGGAACGATCCCTCCGAGCTCCGGCCTGTCCAGTTCTAGTGCCTTAGTTTGTTGTTCTGGCCTCGTAACAATGGAGGCAAACCAAAAGTCCCTCTCCAAGGTGAAGCTTCTTTGTAACCAAACCAAAAACATGTATTAATTTCTTTTGTTAATAGTCAAAAATTATGCTTTCAACAGGTAATGAACAATTAATCACAAAGAATGTGACTCCTAATCCATATTGTCTTTAATTTGTTATAATGTGAATCCTCATGAGTTAGACATTCTCCTGGATTTGTTGCTTAAACAAGGAAAACTTTGTATTTCACCAGGTGGCTCTTGCGGAGATTTGTGCCAAAAGTGAGCGATACATTGGCACAGAGGGAGGAGGCATGGACCAGTCAATTTCATTCTTGGCAGAGGCAGGAACTGTATGTAGCCCGACCGCCTTTGACCTGTGTTTGACGAATATGGCACATCTAAAATACACCAAGTAAACAAATAATAACTTCAGTATTGCTGGCTAAACTTTTTGAATTGTCTGCCAGGCAAAGCTGATAGAGTTTCAGCCCCTACGTGCTACCGATGTCAAACTCCCCGATGGTGCAGTGTTTGTGATTTCCAACTGCTGCGTGGAGATGAACAAAGCTGCTTCTTCTCACTACAACATTCGTGTGGTGGAGTGTCGGATTGCCACAAAGGTGCTCTTTGTTGCCATGATGCATTCCTGAAATATCTGTTTATATATGTTGTTTTGTTTTCTGAGGTTCAATTTAATATTGAATTTAGTTTGACTCGTGTGCTCTTTCAAAGGCAACGGAGCACAACATTTAACCCAAGAACACAGCGATGAACAGCCTCACGCTTCGCTTTAAACTTTAAACATGTGTGATAAGTTTGTAATATTCAAAGTTAACATCACGGTGGATGTGTACTCAGATGCTGGCCCAGGCGCGGGGTGTGGACTCGAGCAGGCTGTTGAAGCTGGCTCATGTTCAGATGGAGCTGAAGGCCTCCCTGGAGGAGATGCTGGCTCTGGTGGACGAGGTGCTGCATCCTGAGCCTTACAGCAGAGAGGAGATATGCAAGGTGCTGGGCATCACCTCGGAGCAGTTTTCAACAGAGCTGCTCAGCGCTAATACTCAGGACAGTAAGTAAAACCTGTGTGGGCGCTGATAAAGCAGGCGCTCTATGTGAAGTACTCCATTAATGGAGTGCAAAAAAGCGTGTTGCTAGTTTAATTCCCCACCCCATCTTTCTAAATCTGATATATTTTGACGTTGACAGATTATTGTAGTACATTCGCATTAAAATGCATCATATTTTATCAATATTGCAACTAAAATGTGGTATTTATATTTTTTCTGTGCATTTTATTTAGGTGAACTAAATTTCCAACCAACCAAATTCTTCTACCTGAGCGAAATGAGCTACATTTCTTTCTTTCAGAACATTTTTCTTACTTGTAAATACTAAGCAACTCTTTATATATTATTTTCTGCTGATAGTCAAGTATTTGGTTATTCCATCACATTAGATTTTTTTTTCATTTCCAGTCTCATGAAAACAGGTTTACGATTAAGGTTTTTGCTGGAACACTTTTCCTGTTATTTCTCTCAGTGACGCAGTTCAAGCTTCACCAACGAGCCAAACATGTGTACGGGGAAGCTGCACGAGTCCTGCAGTTTAAGAGCGTGTGCGACTCTGAACCCGCCGATGCCAAGCGGCTACTGGGAGAGCTGATGAACCAGAGCCACGCAAGCTGCAGAGACCTCTACGAGTGCAGCTGCCCTGAACTGGACCAATTAGTTGATATCTGCCTGTGAGTACTGCAAACCACTGTAAACCACTACTGCACAGCCTGGGAGAGAAACCTGGATGTTATCCAATGAATGTTTAGAGGTATTTAGGTTCATTTACCAAAAAAAAAGATCTCAATTAATAAAAATCCACAATGCAAACTACAATATAATAACTATAACTATAATCCAGTTTGCATACAGTCTCTCATGTGTCCCAGTTCTAATTATAAAAGACAATCAATTAATCAAGTGCATCAGAATAGCAGAACCAGGCTGCTACTTGCCCTCTCAGTTCCTTTGGAAGCAGTAAGGATGGACTTAGTCATTCAAGGGCTGTATGATTTCTACTCGTGTTAGCATTAGCTCTTTGCTGAGTGCTTACAGTAAGTAGAACTTCACACCACTAGCATGACTGTAGATGTACATGCAACTCCTTCCTCACGTCTTTCCTAGAGGAATAATAGTATTAAAGTGTCATACTTAGCACTATACTGAAATATGTTGTCTTTTTGTTTTTTCTTGTGGTTGCAGGAAGTCAGGGGCTGTGGGTTCCCGCCTGACAGGAGCAGGGTGGGGAGGCTGTGCCGTTTCCATGGTTCCCAGTGAGAAGGTGGAGTCTTTCTTACAAGCTGTTAGAGAAGAATACTACCTCCCTGATCCACGCAGGGCAGCGATGGAAAAACAAAGTCTGTTTGTATCAAAGCCAGGTGGTGGAGCTGCAATTTTCCTCGAGGAGTGATCTTCATAATCCATTTCTGATTTTATACTGCAGTCATTCAGTTTCAGTTTCAGAAATAAATGGGTTTTTCTTGCACTTGTGACTAATGATATGATGACTGATAAATTTACCTTTTTCCTCTATATAGATCATGCTGGAAAATAAGGGCCAAAATTTGCTTCCGGGGTGCATTCAAACATGTTCTTTTTTTTATTATGTTCTAATGTAAGATTTTGTTGAGAAGTCATTGTCTGTCTGCACATTTTTCTCATAAACAAAAAGAAAGCAAATGTGAGAACAACAACAACCACCAAAACAAACTTGTGCTGTATAAAATTCATCTATATTAAATTTTCAGACACTAACATTAAAAGGCAAACAAAACCCTTTCTCCATGTGCATCAATGGAAACGCAGACTTTTGGGTGTATTAAAGACATTCAAAAGGCTCAAATGCTGGATGTCAACTTCTGCACAGTAACATTTTTTACTTCACAAAAGAGCAGTGATTGTTGGAGGCTTAGAGGTCTATGCATCATATGCAAAAGAAATGGGGGGGGGATCGTAGGACATAAAAGTGGCCGCTTTTACATGTTATTCGTGTAAAATGATAATAAAAAATTATGATTATGAAATATTATGAATCAAGTAAATGGTTAAAATGCAAATCCAAATAAGTTTGTGAG